TACATTGATGATATTTTAAATAAGTTTAGTTGTGAATGTGACTATGGGTATCGAAAGTTATTAATTGGCAAGTCTTTTCAGATATTTTTTCTTTACTACCACAACAACATGGCAAAAGGTCAATATTGCTAATTTCCTTTTTAGCCCCTCTTGTTCAAGTGTTAGTAAACTACTCTTAGCATCTATACTTAGTTAGATAAACATAATGTAAAAACTTCTATGTGTTTCTTGTTAAGCAAACTTGGCCTAACTCTTAGTTCTCTTTTGCTCTATCTTGTATTAGCTTAACAAAAACCCTCACGTATTGAGTATAATACATCAATATCATTACTTAGCTTACCATAGCTTACTATATCTATCAAACACCTTCACTATCATGCTTCATGTGTTGGTCCCATTCGGTCCTATTAGCTATTTATGGAAAGTGTCTAAATTTGTGAGTTAAGCTGTGAGTTAGGCATAAATACAGAATGTAAAGTTTGTTTTGAACATGATAGTGTTGTTTCCGCATCCAAATTTGCAATCTAATGTTATTCCATATTTAGTAAATTTTTATAATTGTCCCAAAGACTAACTTCTAAGACTGGGGTGAAAATTTGGGGGGGGGGGCGGGGGGGCACTGTAGGGGTTCCAAGTGTATAATAAGGATAGTGGGTAGGTCGTCCATGACCGACTAACATAAAGCATAATTTAGCCCTATTTGCATGTTTATCTTTGTCTTATATCTGGATTGGGTCTAAACCCAAGCTCCATACCATGCTAGCTGATGGTTGATTCTGGCATTAGAATATTAAATGTTTGAAGATTATTTCAATATCATTCCGTACTCTTATCCCTTCACTCTTTAGGCTAAATGCTTAAGAGTCACTTTATGCTCCAATTCTTTTGCTACTTAGTTGCATATTTAGGAGTATGGCTCTGTCATAAATGTGACTACAGGTATTGAAAGTTATCGGCTAGTCCTTTCAAATATTCTTCTCTTACTACCATGATGACAAAGGGTCAATATTGTTGGACCCTTTATCAATCCTCTTGTTCAAGTGTTAGTAAACTTGATTTAGCATCTATACTTGGCCAAACAAGTATAAAAAAGGAGTGTCTATTAGCCAAATATACTTTGCTTAATTTGTTAGTTCTCTTTTGCTTTAATAATAACGTTTGCAATAATGAGTTTGGTCCCTCAATATTCACTAGATAATAGTTTACTGTGTCTACTAAACACTCTTGCTATTATGCTTTTTGTATTGATCTTGTTTGATCCCATTGCTATTTATAAAAAGTGTCTAGATTTGTTAATGGTCCTATAGCTATTTATGGAAAGTGTCTAAATTTGCTATTTTGGCATATCTACAAAATGTAGAAATTGTGTTGAACACAATGGTGTTGTTTCTACTTCCAAATTCACAATCTAGTACCTTTTTATATTTGGTAAGTTTTATATTTGTCCCAGAGACTAACTCCTAATATTAAAGGTGACTAAGGGTAAAATCCCAAAGCATATGTTTCTGCATATAACATGTGGCACATTGAGGTTTAGGTTCCACTTTATGATTAACTTATGGTAAATCACTATAGAATAAAGGGTGAAAACCAAGCTCCATCCCTTCATTTAGTGGTCTAAGGTTTTGAAACTTGAGTTTTACTCAACTGCTATTGAACACATAGCATGTGGCACATAAAGGGTTTATGTTCTATTTTGTGGTTATTCTATAGTAAAACACCATAAGATAAAGGGAGAAAACCATATGTGTTAACCAAGTGTGCTATATTGGTGAAGTTTGAGTGTTTACCAAGATTGATCTAAAGAGTGGATATTATCAAATTGCAATAGATAATGTGTCTATCTCTAAGATAACATTGACCTAGAGTTTCAAGTATTTTGAGTTCACATTTATATGATACGGTTTAAAAAATGCACTAGCCATATTTACTTAGTTGATTATAAAGGTGTTTAAGCATTATTTACATAGATTTTTTTAGATAATTTTTTATTTTTTTTTGCAAGAATATGAAGGATCATAAAGTGTACTTGTGAAAAGTTCTCTTATTACTATATGACAATAAACTTACACAAAGAGTAAATATGAATTTGCAAAGTCATATTAAGCCACATTGTGATATCTAAGGGTGTCAAGATAGATCTAAGGAAGATGGTTGTGATAAAAAATTGAATTATATTAACTTCAATATTGAATTATGTAGTTTCATTGGTATAACTAGTTACTATTGACATTTCTAGTGCAAGTTTGCAAAGATAACTATCTTTTGATATGTAAAAATATGTTATTTAAATGGAAGAAGCCATAGGAGGATAGTTTTGTAGAATTGAAATGATTATTAAGCAATGCTTCAGTTCTTTGTATTGTTGATCACAATTTTTATTGAAAGAATTTAAAGGTCAATATCTTTGAGTATTGCAAATCATATAAGCTTTATCAAGGAGAAGTTAGAAGGGTTTTTGCAACCTTTACTTATTCTTTAACCCATTTATGTAATATCTCTATAAACTTCATCACTTATTTGCCATAAATATAGAGGCAAAAGAAGCTAGTGTAGATCATAATGGATCAATTAACAAAATATATGTTATTGTTAGCTTTTTAGAAGATTGTTCAAACTTGGCAGATTTATATCTTCTATTAGTGCAATTTAATTATAACAATAATTAGCATAGTGGAATTAAGTTAAATCCTTATTTTGCCATATTTAGAAAGCATCTCTAACATAGAATTGAAATTGCATTTGAACAAGGATATTTAAGATAAATTTGACTCAAAGTCAACTAATTGACTACAGAACTTGATGAGATTTTGGTTGATTGCCAATTCTGAAAATATAAAATAAGAGATTTTATCTTTGTGTAAATGACCCTTCCATCAAGTGAGTGATGGAACACATTAATGCTGTTGTGGAAAGGCCAAAGTAATAAACTTTTTTATAAACAAACTCGTCCATGGAGCATGGGAAGAGCTCATTACAATTTAATGTCACCCTCAATTATTGGGGTGACATTAAACTTGTTTGCGCCTTCATAGTAAAACAATTGCCAGCAAGTTCGTAATTAGGGTTCTTGAGAGGAGTGAAAAATGGGGCCCCTGGGATCGTCGCTGGCGTCTCAGTTTTGGAATGAGGAGGTGGAATCCACGCGCTCGCTGGAGGCGTGCGTCCGCTCGCTCCCGCGCGAGCCGCCGCCGCTGGCCATGGTGCGCGGCAGCAAAATCTCGCGCTCGCAGCAGCTGCTGCTGCTCCAGAGGCTCCTCCGCTTGCCCTTTGCACCGTCGCTTGCTCCGGATTGTGATTGCCCTAGCGGGATTGTGCTGGATCGCGTGGTTGCCAGCACTGGTGGAACGAATTGGTAAGGCTTAGGCTCTTTTTTTCTCTCTATTTTCTTTGCTAGTTTCGTTCAGTAGAATGTCCACTGTCCTTTGCCAAACGACGATGAAGAGGAACTAAATTATAATTCAGGTGGGCGACTCTAACGGGGCGACTGCGAGTCCAGAGACTGTTTGCGAAGCGTCCCGAAGCTAAGTTGGAGCTGAATGGTTTCTCCGAAGCAGCGGCAGAGAAGCAGCAGCAGCGTGATGGCAAGTGGACGCATGCCAAGCGTCTTCTTGACAAATCGCTCTACGCATTGTGCATGCGAACAAAGCTTCTGCTTGGTCCCTCCACGTCGTTAAGCATCAAGGCCGAGATGGACTCGCTAGAGGACTGGGGTTCGAGCGAGGTTCCTATGAGAGTTCACTCCAAGCTCCTTCACAAGGTACGCGGGCTCATTTTTTCCTGGTTTTCCTCTGAGCCAAGTTTTTCCAGGTTGGTTGGTCGCTCGAGTCGAGATAAGAACCAGTTTTGATGCTCTCGTATTGTGGATGCCTGCAGCTCAAGAAGCACGATTTATCACTGGAGGCTGCATGGCACGAACGTTACATGGACAGAGAAGCTCGTTACTGGGACGTTCCACAGGCTGTCTCACTCGACATTGCGTCCGTGGGATTGAGCTCGGGCTTGTACTACAGGCTTGGTGTCCACCATAGCTCGGGACAGTCGCAGAATTGCTGCGGAGGGGCCGGAAAGGAGATTCCATGGGGGGCAATGCCTGGAACTTGTGCTCAAGCAGCTGTATCTTATGGGAAGGAGATTGATATCTGGAAGGAAGACGATGCTCACTTTGGTCGGAAGCTTCACAAGCCTTACAATCTTCTAGCTGCTCGTCCACATATCACACTTTCTGGAGTTGTCGGTAAGTCTCCTCCGAGAGGAACGGAGTTGTTATCTTTTTTATACAGGTGGTGTGGTGAATGCAAGCCTTGGACAGAGAAAGCAGCCTCTCAACGCTGCGAATCCTTCGCTGGTGAAATCAAATGGCGATCGCTCCGTCTCGGCCGATGCATTTGGCTCGCTGGGAGTGACGGCACAGTTCGGTCTCTTTCAGAGGTTTCTCCTCGATCACACCAAGTTTGCTGCTAGAGTTGATATTGGAGGAGCTTCTTCCACGGTTTCCGCAAGGACTTTGAGCGCAAAGTCATCATCGCCTTCTCTTGCCGATGGACAGAATGGAATTACGTTCGCTCTTACTATGCAGCAGCAGGTTTGCTCGTCTTTGTTCCTTGTCTTTGTTTTTTTGTCTGAGGACACTTTTCTTGTGTTTGCTTCTCAGGTGCTCGGACCTCTTCGTGCTCGTGTGGATTCCAGATTCTCCCCGGATCTCTCGACGTGGAACGCTCGCCCAGCTCTCCAAGAGGTAACATATGGCTTAGATTGCTCCTTGGAGTCTCTAGGTGCTGCGAAGCTTGTAGTTTGGTACTGTCCGACACGCTCGGAAGGTATGGCAGAAATTCGTTTACTTGAGATATGAAAGTTGGATTGGCGTGGTGGCGATGATTCCCGACGCCAAGACGACGAATTTTCAGAGCGCTCTAACCGAGAAGAAGGTTTGTTTGTAATCGATAAGTAAAGCTCTTTCCTTGTCTCGGGAAAATTTTCGAAGAACACCAGGAAAAAAATGAGTCTTGAAAATATAACTTTGAATGTTTCTGTTTATTTGCTACAATATTATAAATTCATCTCAGTATTTGAGATGGTCTCTAAGCTTCCGCACGGCCGCTTTCAACGTATCCTCATCCTTGCAAAAGGCAAACCTCACCAAATGCTTGCCATCCTGTGGATCTTCGTAGAAACCACTGGGAGGAATCGCTGCCACTCCCACCTTGTGGACCAGATGCATGCAAAACTCCATGTCGTCTTTGAAGCCAAACGGAGTATGATCCACCATGACGAAGTACGTCCCCTGCGGCTCATAAACCTTGAATCCCACCTCCTTGAGCCCCTGGACGAGGATATCCTTCCTGGCGATGTAAGCGCTCCTCAGATCCTGGTAGTAAGACTCTGGAGCCTCGAGCGCTGCCACAGCACCCCATTGCAGCGGAGTGGCCGTCGAGAAAGTGATGTTGGAGTGAGCTTGCCGGATGCCATAGCTGAGATGCGGAGGAGCGATCGCCCAGCCAACTTTCCAGCCCGTGAACGAGTACGTCTTCCCCATGGAGCTCATCGTCACGGTCCTCTCGAACATCCCTTTGATCGACGCGAGGGAGACGTGCTCGCCATCGAAAACCAGCCTGCTATACACCTCGTCCGTGAATGCCAAGACGTCGTGCTCCACGCACAAGGACGCGATGAGCTCCAGCTCCCCCCGGGAGAAAACTTTGCCGGTCGGGTTGTGAGGGGTGTTGACGAGGATCGCTCGGGTTTTGCTCGTGAATGCCGCGCGGAGCTCGTCCTCTGGCACTGCGAATCCATTCTCCGGCCTGAGCACCACCGTCTTCATCTTTGCGCCAACCATCGCTGTGACTACCTGGTAGACGTCGAAGAAAGGAGCAAACATGATGATCTCGTCGCCCGGATCGAGCAAGCCCAGAATCGTGGAAGAGATGGCCTCCGTGCAGCCGCAAGTCACCGTGATCTCGGTGTCGGGATCCACTTTCAAGCCAGTGTCCTTCTCAAACCTCCTGGAGATGGCGGCATTGAGCTCTGGAACTCCAAACCCCCGCGCGTACTGGTTTCTTCCCACTGTCCGGAGCGCCTGGATCGCGGCCTCGCGGATGAAATCCGGGCCATCGAAGTTGGGGAATCCCTGCCCGAGATTGATCGCCTGGTGCGTGAGCGCCAGGGAGCTCATGAGCGTGAAGACCGTGGGCTGGAACTGCTCCAGCCGCTTGGAAACCTGGAAAATCTCGCCAGAATCTCATCACAACCATATCGATTGAGTGGAGTGGCAAAATCTCACCTGGAGAGGGCGAGAGATCACGGCAGAGGCAGCGGCAGCGGCAGCGGCGACGCCATTCCCCACCACCTCGTCCTTCTGCGCAGTGGCCGCCATTCTCACGCCGCCGGATCGCGGCGGCGACAATGGAGGAGGAGGATCTCCAATGGCGTGCGCGTGACCTAGAGATGAAGCTCGCAGCAATGGCTGGCTATGGCGGACGCCGAATATTCCCGCTAGTGATGAAGAGAGCTCCATTAGAGTCCTTCTAGGACTCCTCCTCATCCCCTCTTCTTCCAAGAACCCAGTATAAAGAAATGGCGATTCTAGATCCAGGAAGAACAAACCTCTCGCGATTCCGGGAAGAACAGAGCTCCTCCTCCTCCAATTCCAGCCCCGGTGGCGATGACGCCGTGGAATCCTTCGCGCAGCAGCTAAAATCCTCGGCCAGATCCCAAAATCTTGGCGAGGGCCGGCGAGTCCACTCCCGGATCCTCGAATCCGAGCACTCCGGCAATCGCTACCTGGAAAATCTCCTCATCGACATGTATGGCAAGTGTGGCAGCGTGGAGAACGCGCGCCAGGTCTTCAACTCGATCGCTCGCCCCAATCCCTTCTCCTGGACGATCATGATCCAGGCCTACGCACACAACGGGTATCTGTCCGAGGCGCGATCGATGTTCTACGCGCTCCGGGATCCCTCGATCGTGGCGTGGAACACGATCATCTCCGCGCACGCCCAGCTAGGGTTCCTCCGCGAGGCGCGCGATCTGTTCGATCGAATGCCGGAGAAGGACGTGGTATCGTGGAACGCGATGATCGCAGCGTATGCCCAAAATGGGCATCTGGGATCCGCGAGAGCGATGTTTGATTCGATGCCGCGGAAGAACGTTGTGTCGTGGAACACGATCATCACTGCGCTCGCGGAGAATGACGAATTGGAAGAAGCCCTAGCGATTTTTGAGAAGATGCCACAGAGAAACACAGTCTCCTGGAACGCTATCATTGCAGCACTTGCCAGGAGTGGGCATTTGGCGGAAGCGCGGGAATTGACGGCCAGGATGCCCCGTCCGGACGTGGTCGCACGGACGGCTGTGATTGCAGCATACGGCGAGAGCGGGCAGCTCATAGCTGCCCGGAGCTTGTTCGAGGAGACGGCTGAGATGTGCCAGGGGGACGTGATCCTGTGGACCACGATGATCGCCGCATATGCCCAGCACGGGTATCTCCAAGATGCCAGAGAGCTCTTTGATCGCATGCCTCACAGGAACGTAGTGTCGTGGTCCGTGATGGTCGCAGCTTATGCCAAGTTTGGGCGTGTGGAAGAGGCCAGATTTATGTTTGATCGAGTTTCTCGAAAGGATATCATCGCATGGAACACGATGATCCAAGCCTATGCACAGAACGGGTATTGGATCGACGCAAAGAGTGTTTTTGATAGTATGCCACAGAAGGATTCCTTCTCCTGGAACGCTGTGATGAACGCTTACATACTCAGCGGCCAGTTCGAGGACGCCGAGGATTTCTTCCAGGAGATGCCGCAGCGGGACGTCGTGTCTTGGAACTCGCGGATTGCTGCTTTCTCTCTGCGTGGAAAGCTTGAGCAAGCGAAGGTGGTGTTCGAGAGGATGCCGGAGATGACTTTGGTTTCGTGGACGAGCATCGTTGGAGCGTTCGCGCAGGCGGGACGAGGGAGTGTTTCGCTGGATCTGTTCCGGAGGATGGAGCAACAGGGCGTGATGGCGGACGAGTTTAGTCTGGTCACCTTGCTCACGGCTTGCAGCCACTCGGGGTTGACGGAGGAAGCGTGCACAAACTTTGTGGCGATGACTGTGGATCGAGGCTTGAGTCCCGGCGTGGAGCACTACTGCTGCATGGTTGATGCTCTTGGGCGAGCAGGGAGGCTCAAAGATGCTCAAGAGCTCGTTGACAACATGCCTTTCGTCGTGGATAGTATGCCATGGTCGATCCTGCTGGGTGCCACTCGGGTTCAAGGCGATTCTTGGCTAGGAGCCAACGTTGCTAGCAACGTTGAGCCGCAGAGATCGTCGCTCTATATGCTGCTCACGAGCACCATCTCGTCGTCAAGTAGCTGAAAAGAGTGACTTTGTTCCTGCTGTTACCAGAAATCTTCGCACGAACAAGCTCCTCCTCTGAAATGGTGAAACCTGTAAGCGTCTCTCACCACGATCTCCCGTCCCACAAGCCCGGAGATGAACTTGGTGGCACTGTGACAGTCGCTGCAGACTCTCAAGTTCTTCATGATCCTGAGCGGCTCCCCCGCAGCAGTCGAGATCAATCCAAAGGCAATGGCCAGTTTCTCACTGTGCTGACAGAGCAGCGATTCTTTCTCTTTAGCTTGCAAGTCGTATACCACTGCCTTGGTGTCGCAGACAAAGCCCGCTCGTTTCATCTTATCGTTCAATCGTTCCAGCTCCCTGTGTATCTCGCTCGACCGAGGATGGCTCGTGTCTCCCACTCGAAACTCGTGTATCCGGCCCTTCACTTCGATCCAGCTGAGTCCTGGCTCTTTCTTTGGTCCCAGATCCACCATACTCTTCCTCACTGCCGCGGCCTCCGGCCACTTCCCAGCCCCGGCATATAGATTGTGCATCACCAGGTAAGGTCCTGTGGATCCTGGATTCAGCCCGAGAATTCTCTGAGTCGCCCGGCCACCACGCTCCAAGTCACCGTGGAGCTTACACCCACACAGGAGAGTTATCCACGGGAAGACGCTCTCGTCCCCAAAAGGCAGCCTTTTTACGAACTCTTCTGCGTGTTCTAGCCATCCTGCTCTGCTCAAGAGATCTATCACGCAGCTGTAATGCTCTGCCTCGGCTGGAAGCCCATAGTCGACGTGCATGTTGAGGAAGTAGCTGTAGCCTTGGGCAACCAGTCCTGCATGGCTACATGAGGAGAGAACGCCAATCAGAGTGACGCTACCTGTGTCGATTCCTTCGAGCTGCATTGTCTGAAAGAGCTCAACGCCACGAACGCCATTGCCGTGCTGAGCATTCGCTGCAATCGCCGAGTTCCAGGAGACTTGGTTCTGCACGGGCATGACTCGGAAGAATTTCGCTACTTCTTCCAAGCTGCCACACTTTCCTAGAGCACAAAGCAAGCCGTTAGCTACTTCCACATTTCCGAGGAACCCAGTCTCGGATAAACAAGCTTGTACCAGTTTTGCAGCTCGGATCGACGCGAGATTGCCAGAGGCGTTCAAAACCGCAGTGAAGGTGACATCGTTAGGAGTAACACCTTCCAGGAGGATACTTCTGAAAATGCGGAGTGCTTCTCTGTTAAGACCGAGTTGGCTGTGGACTCCCACCATAGCGGTCCACGAGATGACGTTCCGAGTAGTCATGGCGTCAAAAATCTCTCGAGCATCCTCCAAGCTTCCCAATCTTGCATACATACTCACCAAAGCATTCTGCACAGGAATTTTGCGTGTCAGCTCGCTCTCTGTCAGCAAAGAATGAATCCACTTACCTTTTTCCAAAGATCCACAAGCGTTGAAAACTGTCACCAGGCTCACAGTGTCAATACTTACTCCCCCGAGCAGCATAAGCCTGAAGATAGTGAACGCTGCTTCAAGCTGCTCGTTCTCCACGTACAGCGATAGAACCGTGTTCCACATCATGATACTCGGCTGGTCACGATCTTGTCCGAGAAGCAAGCCGCTACTAAATGCCGACTTCGGACTCCTACATCTGCTATACATGTTCATGATCGCGGTGCCCGTCACAACATCCGCCGATTCGATTCCACAGTCACCTTCAGCTGCAAGAGTTCTCAGAAAATCCCCGTGTTTCAGGTGAGCTGCCAAAAAACACGCATTAAGAATAGCAACATAAGTTATCCTGCTCGGGAGCTCACCTACGAGTAGCATCTCCCTGAAACACTTGAAAGCCTTGTCGTGGAAACCATTGCAGGCACTGGCCGTGAGCATAGCGTTCCAGGACACAACATCCCGCTCTTGGATCCTCTCGAAAATCTCTTCCGCGTCGTCAACTTTCCCAAACTTTCCATACATGTTTACCAAGGCTGTTTGCACGACCGTATCAGCATCGCCACCCAGCTCCCTGGCAAACGCATGGATTCGAAGACCCTCGGAGAAATCTCTAGAGTGGCAGCACGCGTTTAACGCAGCAACACAAGTGCCTTTGCTGGGAGTGACACCGTCGAGCCTCATTTGTCGACAGAGCTCCAGAGCCTCATCTCCTTGCTCGTGAACAACGAGCAGCGAGATCATCGCGTTCCACACTGCCGCGTCTCGGACAAGAATCCTGTCGAAAAGACCCCGAGCACTGTCCAAGTCTCCACACTTCCCATAAGCATTCATCACCGCAGTAGCCACGATCACATCCAGCTCGAGAGATCCACAAGCTTCCACTCGAGCTCGAATAGTATCCACTTCCCAGGGGTGGCCGCAAGCACCGAGAATCGCAACGTAAGTAACGTCGTTGGGCATCACTCCCTGTAGCTGCATTTCCCGGAAGAGATGGAATGCCTCCTTGGGATGCCCACTCCGGGCATTCACGCCGATGAGAGACGTCCAAGCAACCACGCTCTTGTCTTGGATCCCCTGGAACACCGCCCTGGCCTCTTCTGGGCTGCCGCATTTGCAATACATGGCGAGCAGCCTGGCGCCGAGAAAATCGCCTACCTCGATCCCGTTCCGGAGAATCAACCCGTGAATCCTCCTGCCCTGCGCGAGATCGTGGAGCCTAGCGCACTTGTGGATCAGAGCGGCGAAGGTAGAAGCATCGGCCGATCCATCGTCGAAATATTTGAGCTCGTCGGTCCGATGCTGCGGCGCGGATGTCGAGAAGCTCACCGGATCGATACGAGGCTTCCTCCTGCCAAGAAATCGCCGCGTCATGCCGGGGCGGCAGCGCTGTCTCCATCGCCAGTGCTCGAAATGCCCATAAACCCTAGAACTCAGAAAGATTCTAAAGAATATTCTCTAAAAAGAACCAATGGGAAGACGCCACTGTTTTATTCCACTTGGCAATGCGGGTTTTATCATCTTGCTTTGGAGAAAGTAGGGTTTATCATCTATCAGAGCGATGGGCAGTGCCGGTGCCGGTGCCGGTGCCGGTGGCGATCGAAATGGCGAGCTTGTGACGGTGAAGGGGCTGGCGCTTGACAGGTACATGGGCCGCTGGTATGAGATCGCCAAGATCCCTACTCGATTCCAGCCCAAGGCCGGGATCAACACGCGCGCGACCTACACGCTCAAACCGGACGGCAGCGTCGACGTGCTCAACGAGACCTGGGTAAATGGGAAGCTGAATCACATCAGCGGCGTGGCCTGGAAGGTCGATCCCAAGAGCGAGGACGCCAAATTCCTCGTCAGGTTTTGGGTGCCTCCGTTCTTGCCAGTGTTTCCAGTCACTGGGGATTACTGGGTGATGGCGATTGGGGATGACTACGAGTGGGCGCTCGTCGGCCAGCCCTCTCGAAGCCTCTTGTGGGTAAGTTCCTTGATGTTCTTAGGAGATTCAGTTCCTTGATGTTCTTACTTTCGTTCTTGTGGAAAGGTTTTGGGCAGGGAGCCAGCGCTGAGCGATGAGATCTACTCCAGGCTAATGGAACTGGCCAAGGAGCAGGGATACGATACCAGTGCCGTGGAGAAATCCAAGCACGATGAAATCTCCGAGACGGCACAGGGAGAGGAGCGAGCTCCCAAGAAGGATAGTGGATTTTGGTGGCTCAAGACACTCTTTGGCAAGTACTGAGATCAATCTATCTCACACGATCTTCTATACAAGAAACAGCGAGCTCTTCTAGATTGATAAATCATAAAGTCGCGAACATAGATTGTATTTTCTACTTGAATAAATAGTAGCAGCCTCCATAGCCTGCGAAGCAAAGTACCGTGTAAATCCAATGATCAAATCAATAGTAGTAGCAGGAGACTTAGACTTACTGGGATCAGTCGAAGAGATCAAGGCAGTGTTATCAAAGTAACAGTTGTAGTCATAGCGAGCTTTCATCTGGAAGTAATAGTTGTAGACCCAGGAGGCATGCGCGTGGATGTTATCGGGATAGACGCAATTGCCAGTGTACTGGATTGCGGAGCAGTCAACCTGTGAGCACGCATAATCGAGGCCCTTTTGGAGCGAATCCGGAGGAACTGCTGGGTTTGCAACGCACCAGACCTTTCCATTCACAACGCGGCCGCTTGGCTGTGGGGCTGCAGCGCGAGCAAGCAGCACAGACACTGCGAAACTCAGAAAAAACGCGACAACTTTCATCGTTGACGGGATGATCGAAACTCAAGAAAGCTTGGCTTAAAAAACTGTATATATTTAGAGGCTTTTGTTGTGTGTGCCACTCGTATTTTCTGTAAACCCCAGAAAAAAGTGAGTGGCTCATAGTATATGTATTGTGCTGTATTTTAAATCCCACATTCACTATTTTTATTATCATAAACTTTGCGATGAATACGATTTGATGCATCGAGGTCTGTAGCTTGCAAGTTTCGTCCAAGCCACTGGAAAAGAAAAGCTAGACGAACAGCATGAGATCACAATGAATATCATCCAAGATTATCCTTGCAAGCTCTATATGATGTTGTGATCCAAACCAAGAACATGCATGCTAAGTTTACATAAACTGGATGAAAGCAGGAGCTTGTACACCAGCCAAGCTAAAAACCACGCTCAGCCTTCCCGTTTCTACGTTCCTGGAAAGAACGTTTACCTTGTTCGAGTTTTGAAGCCCAACCACGACCATCTCCCCGGACGAATCAAGGGCAAAATGGCGAGGAAACGAACCACCGACTCGATCCAGCCCCAGCCAGGTAAGGCCACCATCACCCTCAGCGTCTACTCCAAACACCGCGATGGTATCCTCGTCGTTACCACGGTTGGACGCATACAAATACCTCCCGTCTGGCGAAAGAGCCACTTCCGCCGCTAGGCACGCGCTCTTGTTCGCTACGCTATCATCCAGAGTGGACCAGCTCTGGATCAAACGCAGTGCTCCATTCCCCGGATCATAAGAGAGCTGGCTCACGGTGTTTGCGAGCTCGTTGAGCACGTATGCGAATCGCTCGTCGCGGGAGAAGATCATATGCCGAGGACCCGAGCCAGGCTCGAGTGAAACCTCCGGAGTCGCGGCCTCGTCGAGCTCCCCAGTCGAGACGTTGAGAACTCGGACGTGGATCTCATCGGTGCCGAGATCACAAACGAAGACAAACTTTCCCGAGGAGTCCGTGATGATCTGGTGGGGATGAGGACAGTCTTGCCGGGGATTGTTCCTCGGCTCCGTGAGGCCTGGAACCTTGATCAGCGAAACCGGCTGCTGGTGATGACCCAAGAGCACACCATCGGAGCCATGGTTGACCTGGAGAACGCCATAGCTGCCACCCCTGTAGTTCGCAAACAAGATCCACTTACCGCTGGGGTGGACGATGATCGCAGCCGGGACCGAGCCACAAGGGATGGGGTGGCCGAGACGAGAGAGGTGTGGAGAGAAGGAGAATGCCTCGACAGCGCCACTCTCCACTTCGTTGACAGCGTAGATAACGTTGCCCAAGTGGGGATGCCTGGCCAGAAAAGTGGGATTGGTACCTGATGGAAACGAGGCGATAGAGTGGAGCTGATGTTTCTCCAGCGCTAAGAGGTGGATTTCGTCGCTATAGCCGCCGACCAACAAGAGCTGCTTCGCCATCTTCTGTGAAAAAGAAAGGTAGAGAGTGGCAAATGCTCTCCCCAATCATAAGCCTACTAGCCCATTGCTCCCAGTGAGGATTGAACTCACGACCTCTCGCTTACGAAGCGAGCGCACTACCAGTATGCTATGGAAGCCTTACCGATGAAACACCTCAAAACAAGCATATTCTAAACTTAGATATTTCCAATTTGCTAACGACAATGGTCTTACATTGTTAACTTAGTGTATGTTGTATTTAAGAAAGAAAGTTTATAAATTATACAAAATTAACTTAAATTAGTTAAAGGTAATCTTAATGATGGAATAGAGTTTAAAAGAAAAAGGAACTCCATGCTTTGCACACATGGCGCGAATGGGCATTTGGAAAAGGCACTGGATATCTGGCTCATCGCCACGAAATCTCTTTGACAAGAATGACATTGAAAATGCAAACTTCTTCGATTTACAATAGGACTATGAAGACTAAGCACCTCTCTGCCGGCCGCCTTCAAGAAGCATGAGCCTCTTCCAGGAGCCCGACGAGACTTGGTCTCATGGACCAGGCGGAAGAATTCCATAGGATCAGCCTGGAGAGCGCGATGATCACATCGTCTTTGCGAGCGTGCTCACAGTTGGTGAAAGTCTCTGGAAAATCTCTCAGTAAGTCTTCTTGTCGATGCGTTGACAAGGCCGAGGAGCTCATCCACTCTCGCTGCTGGCTGCTTGCCAGAGACCTGCCAAGAGACTCTCGGCGCTGGGATTCTTTCGAATTTCTAGACGCTCAGCAAAGTAAATACAAATATATGATTGCTGTTATTGCACCAAACATGCAATTGGAAAGAGAACTAGATGGACAAAGCCAAAGAAGAAGAAGATCAATAAGTCTTGATGTTCTGTAGTGCCAAAAACATAAAATGAAACACTTAGATATTAGGAATGCGATAGATAGCAGAAGAGATCCTGGGCCAAGATGCTGAGAACACAACTTGAAAGAAGCATGAAGGCACTGGACACGATGGAACAAAAAACAAACAAGGGCGAGATAAATTTTTGAGAAGATAGGAAACATAAAATGCTAAAAGTTACCTGTGGAGAATGGAAGAGCTTCCTGCCCAGTGTCCTTCATAAGATACGTGATCTGCATGTGGACTTTTGAAAAGAATGTTGACGAAATGTTTTTGACGAATGCCGACGAAAAGCTGGCAAAGTTTTGGATTCTCCGGCAGCTCCTTTCCGGGAATAAATCTGCTGGTCTATCCCCGACGACTGTAAGAAAGCGCTTCCAAGAGCTTGAATTGTGTCCTGAAACTCGTCCACTATAAGAAGCCGTCATTTAATGGTGGAAGGATTAAAAAAATCCTTCCACCAAACGAAAATGAGTTAGTTTGAAGAAACTGATGGTAACTTTGTAAAACCTACAAACCTGATAGATGATGCCCGTAGATGAAGGATGCTCAGTCTCAGGTTTCTGAGTTTGTGGAGATCGTGCATAGTGAATTGTGTAGGCATGTAGCTTCTGCCGGGGTTGGATACAGGCAAGGATTGTCTAGCAGATCCTGTTGGAGCTCTGACCGCCTGGCAAATATGCCTGGGTTTAATAAGCTTGAATTATTGTCCTGGGAAATTTCCGTTTCCTCACTTCCACAGCTGGGCAACTGAAATGTTATTCATAAAACCATCCCAACCTTATCAATAGTACACCAGCTGGAGGCATAGTACCACTAGGATAGCTACATGCACGCTAAATTCATCTTCTTCAGAGGTCCAAGCCATTGTTCTTTTTCTTCTTCTTTCCTCTTTCCTTGGCTCGTGAACTCCCTCGAGTTCCTACGCATCTCTGCAACAACGGCACTGGTTTGATCAATGCATCCTCTCTCTTTCGGTTTTGATTTTGAAACGTTGCCTTTGGTGATTTACCAACAGAGGAATCTCATACGAAGCTCAAGGGCGAGAACAATTACTTTGCACTGGTAATCTACTACACCGAAGGTTCCTTGACGCTCGAAGTCAAAAACTCGTGGCTCAACTATGGGAAATGGGTTCGTTCCACGAACGATTTCACGGAGATTAGATCTCCCAATGGTCTCACCATGAAGGCGTGGGGCGAATACCACATCACTGCCTCTGGCAGGAACTGGTCTCCCACTGGTACCGAGGGCTCTTTTGATATTTACACAAGCGATGGCCAGAAGGTAGTGTATGTCTACTGGGACGTTTCTTATGGTGGAACGGCGGAATGGAAGAAAACCGCTCATGATAGCCGGTTCAAGGTGACGGCCAGAAGGATTGGAGAATCTCGTCTGGATGTGACTATGGTCATCAAATATATTGGCACTGAGGCCACTGAAGAAGCTATTGCTTAAAAGTTTGTGTTTGAGAGTGAGCTTCTACGCTTGTCGTGTGAACTGTTTTTATAATGCTAAATAATCAGCAACTAGTTTAAACTATTGAAGGTGCAACTCTCGTGACGAAACTGCCTGGCAAGAACATACAATAGAAACAAATAAAAGAAGAAGAAGATCTATAAGTTTGGTGTTCTTTTTTATTCTGCCAGAGGTCAGCTCTCGTCTTCTGTTATCTATCACATTCTTCGTTTGAGAAAAATGTAAAATTTCCTGGGCACCCTGCCAAGATCAATCAAAGCACAGATAAATCGAGAACACCGCAAAAAATCAAGAATCACAATTGCAAGTGAGTTGTTCAGACTTGTTCGTGTGATTGATGACTGCTCCTGGCCACAAACGTAAGATGCTGCTAACTTTTCTGAAATAAGATAGACCAACAAAAGTAGGTATTTTGCCCTTGTTCCAGTTCCTATTCATGTTCCTTCATATTGCTATAACATTATTGATTTAATGATCGTAGCATACAGTCCTCTTTGCAAATAAAGTTCTGGCCAAATTTTTGAGTGATTTTCTGGCTTATAAATTTTCGATAATTGAGGAGGTTGCAGCGTCCAGCCACCAGAGATGATACGTGGATTCTCTCACAACGACTTCGAAGAAAACCAGCACTGGTGATACAAGAAAATCTGCCCAAAATCAGCTTCACGTATTATACCGCAATCATATGACGAAACAAAGATGTCGCATAGAACAAGAAAGGTCGTGGTGGGAGGACGTTGAGATCCCCTGTGAGAGGATTCAAGAGAATGAAGCTCTTGCCATTGTGCCCAAAGATCAGTCCACGGGCAAGGTTCTGGCAGTGGCTTTACCTTATCTTTGTCCGAAGGGTTGCATTTATATGGACTTTGCTCACCAGATTGGTATTTGTGATGGAGAGACTTGAACCATGAGATCTTTCCACTGCTTGCAAATAGATTTTACGTGGGTGTGTAGAAACGCTGAGAGGCTTTGTCGAGGAAATTACTTTGCCTTGGATTCATGTGAAAGAAGGCTTCCATTTGCTGCTACAAGGACACGCTTGTGGTTACATTGGGAGTGCTGGATTACAAGATAAAATCTTAGAGCACCCGTGGAAACCGAAATGCTTCCTCCTAATTGTCAATGAATATAGCTTTTAATTAAAACGAATGGTTGCTACAATCCTGCTCCCAATGAGGATTGAACTCACGACCTCTCGCTTACGAAGCGAGCGCACTACCACTATGCTATGGAAGCCTTACATTTGAACACCTTTTAACACAAATTAGGGCTCTTTGCAGCTGAATCTCATTACTGGGCGAGTACACAAGAAGGAAATTCTTAGAAGAAACCGCGCTGTACATAATAGAGAACTTCCTGGGGGGTTTCTAGCCATCGTGCTCCTGCTTCTCCTTGGATGCCTTCTCCAGACGATCAGCGATCCAGTGCGCGCGCGCCTTGTCCTTCTTCACGATCCGCTCCCACACCTCTGGCTTGGAGGCGTGTCGCCCGCTCTGGAGCTGGATTGTAAAACCCCCATTATTCTCGCTCCCGTCCAATTCCACCTCCTGCTTGCCGTGATCTTCCACTTTCGCGGCCTCCTTGCTGCCGTGGTCTTCCAGTTTCACGGCCTCCTTGCTGCCGTGATCTTCCAGCTTCGCGGCGTCCTTGCCGTGGTCTTGGGTCGCCGCCTCGGCCATGGCCACCAGCGCAATGCAAGAGAATAGGAGAAGAATCTTTGACACCATCCTGAAATGCCGACATTGGGAGAGATTTCAAGAGCCAGATAAGAGATCTAGAGATCTAGAGAGGAAATTTCGCCTCTTACCTCGAGCAAATCGATCTCGCTCGCCTCGCCTTCTCCTTTCGCTTTACCCTAAAATATATTCGAGAGTTTTTAGGGTTTTGGCGATGGCGGGGGCGCTGGCGTGTGTCCAATCCTCGTGGCGTTGCTGCGTAGCTCGCAATATGGTGCGCGGCCGATCGATCAGCTACAGGAGCTTCCATGATGCGATCCCAGCGATCAAGCAGCAGCCATTTGTCTACAGGCAAGAGGTCTGTCCGAGCGATCGGTCGCGCGTTTCCCAGGATTAATGGCGGCATTTCTCTTGTTTCTTTCTTTCCAGGTCCATGCGCCAATGTGCTCGATCCGAGACTTGCCGTGTGATTTTCCCGCTACTTCTTCTTCCCAGCCCCAAGCTCAGAGCTCGTCTACATTGTCCAAAGGACGCATTCTTCTCGTAGATGGAAGCGCTGTTATTTTTCGCGCCTACTACAAAGTCATGGGTAAGAAAGCTTCGTTCTTTTGCTCTATACGTAATTCTTTTCTCCTTTGGCAGCCAAGGCTCACCATAACTTGATACCAGAGCTAGAATCTGAGGCCGACTGGGTTTTAACAGTTTTCACAGCCTTCACCACAGTAAGTGCCATGCCACCATTGAATCTAACGTGATTTTTCCTTTGTTTCCTAGATACTGGGACTGCTCGACTTAAGCCCGTCTCACTTCGCTGTAAGTTTCTCGTTACACAATTCTGTGAGCTTACTCGAGTGCTTTAGGTTGTTTTCGATCATAAAGGTGGGTTTGCAGACGAGCAACGATGTAAGACGTGTGTGTGTGCATGTCTTTCGTGGTTTCTAAATTAGTTTTTGCCATCGGATGGAAAGTGCTAAAGTCATTTTCACAGGTCTGACTTTTCGGCATACGATGTTTCCCGAGTATAAGAAGAATCGTCCACCGACGCCAGACACGATTTATCAGGGCCTCGATCATCTTAGACCTGCTCTTGTTGCCATGGGGATCAAAGTGATAGAAGTAAGTGAAATCAGTCTCTTTTTTTTTTCCTTGCAGTGGTGCAAGCCATATTTGTTTGTTGCAGGTTCCGGGCGTTGAAGCCGACGATGTGATCGCGACACTAGCAGTCTCAGCAGCGACTTCAGAGATGAAGGTAAAGATGAAGGTTCTTTCTAGTTGTTCTATTAAACGCTTGATAATCTTGTCTGCTCTCACAGGTACGAATCGTTTCACCCGACAAAGATTTCTTTCAAATATTATCTCCAGATATCCGACTTCTGAGGTTCGTTCCGAAAGGTGCCGGGTATGTTCTTCAGGTTCAGGTATATCTCCTGCTTGACCGTGTTTTCTCTGTAACAGGATGGTTTCGTTTGGCATGGAAGAGTTCTCAGCAAGATTTGGAAGCTTGGAACCAGCACAGTTTGTGGATGTACTGTCTCTTATAGGCGACACATGTGACAATATACCAGGCAAGTACTACCATACGATTGACTCAAGGCTACGCTCCATAACTTGTAACATTGCAGGTATTCCAGGCATTGGCGAGAAAACTGCAATAGAGCTTATCACAAAGTTTGGTCAGTGTCTTCACTACTAGCAGCGTGATTTTCTTGCATAGCTGATGGACTCTCTAATTTTTCTCAGGGTCCGTTGAAAATTTGTTACAGCAAAGAGACAAAGTGACTACGAAGAGGGCTCTCAAGGGGCTTCTGGCTGACAAAGGCGAGGCTTTACTTAGCAAACGCCTGGTATATAATCCAGTTAAGCATTTCTCTATTGCTTACGTCCTGAGTTCCACAAGCAGGTCGCGCTGAGGGCGGATTTACCATCTTACATGCTACCATTTACAATGGATGATTTTATCTGGCGCAAAGTTCACGTAAGTCGTGCTGCGTGTTTTCTCTTTTCCATCTCAGTGTTCATGGAATGCTTGCTTCCGTCAGGATGATGGCCAGCGGCTGTTTCAACTTCTTAAAGCAATGAGCTCGTTTGTGGACGGCGAAATTCACGTCGAGCTACAGGACCGAATCTTGGGCTTGTGGAAAAAACTGGAAACAAAGCCGTGAGAGCGTCAGGAACGGGTTTACTGAGCAGGAGGGAGCCAATTTTTTGAAGGGAGGCTCCTCGAGCTAGAAAAAGTAGCACACGACCAGGACAAGTGTTCATTGGGCATATTCGTTGGGGCTTTGAGCTGGCGGTGATGGCTATGGTACTTCTCAGATGGCCAAGACAAGGGCTTCGAGGTTGATGTTGCGAGGTACAGGTTTTAGCTCCACAGCTCCACTGGGTTGTAGGCTCATAGAATGCGGGAATCCTGGAGCAATGGCTAGCTCCAGGAAATGGAAGAACAGGTCCAAGACTTCGAGGAAAAGAAGCGTTTTGGTCTTGGGGGCTGTTACACCGGCTGCTGGAGACGCTGGGTGGGATTACAGCGAGAGTTTGCGTCAAGGCTTGCAGAATGGCAGTAGTGGTGGAAGCTCGAGGATTTATGCAAAGTGGAAATGGTGGGAAAGGAAAAACGAGAGCGCTCTGGACAAGGACGAAGCATTACCGCTTCCGATGACTTATCCCAATTCAGAGCCACTTCCGAAGGAGGAGGTGGAGAAGGCGGCCAACTGCGATCCCGAGATAGAGGTACATCACCCCCCTGGGAAGAGAAAGAACTTACGCTCGAGTTTGTGGCTTGCAGAATTGTAAGAACGTTGTGTACCAGTGGACGGGCGAGTGTAGACGTTGCCAAGGCACCGGAGTGGTGAGCTTCTATCGGAAGAATGGAAAGGAGGTGATTGGCAACTGCATCTCTTGTCTAGGAATAGGTGCGCGCCTCCATTTCTTCTTTGCTGCTTAGCTTACGTGAAAACTTCCTTGCAGGATATGTACACAAGCATACCAGCAGAGACGTGGAGCAAGACGAAATATCTTGAGGCCGAGTTCCACAAATCTTTTCGCGAAAATGGTCCGTTTCTCTCCCCCGCATTTTTGTTTCCATTCATTCCTGCGAGCAATAAAGCAGCAGCGGTCCGTTAAAAAGAGAGTTGGATCCAAGGAAGACGCACAAACAGAAAAACTGTGGCGAGAAAACATACTTAGCTGTCAGCTTCCTTTGCCGTGCCAAGATGTGGCCAAAGCTTCGCCACCCATCATCTTTGCCATTCCATTCGAGCTTGGATTGGATTTGTCTTTAAGCTCTCGGCCGCGAGGATTCAGTTGGAGGAGCTTGAATGCTTGTCCATTGTTGTGGATATCCAGCTATGAAACCAACAAAACTCCACCCAACTCGAATCAGAGAAAAAGGAAACAACCAACCAAACCTTTGCTCTTTTTGCTTGCGAGTTGCGACGCCCCGCTGCGCGACAAGGCTCAAATCTGTGAGCTTGATCCTGCAGCAGCAAGAGGGGGTCAAATTGGATATGCATTCCCCGGCTTTGCTGTTTTTGGTACCTCTCGCGTTTCTGACTTTTGCGGTATGTGCCCATGATTGGCTGCGGCTGTATACACGCACAAAACTCCCGTAAAACTTGCTGGCTTTCGAGCATGTCTGGCATACTTGTTTTGTCATCTTTCCTTTTGCGTGTTGAACTTTCTGCAGAGCAACGCTGCAAAATCGGCGGATGTCTGTTAGACAAAATAGCAAAAGAAGAAACTAATGTGTGTGACTTGAACCTTTAGTGAATGATCTTCTTTTTGCAGTTCGCAAAGTTCGCAAAGTTCGCAAAGTTCGCAAAGTTCTGTGCGAGCTGACCTCACTGGACTAAAAAAACACCATCTTTTGCTTGGTGTCCACGAAACCAACTTCCATAATCCACAAAATCCGCCTGCAAATGATGAGAGTTAGCAGGAGAAAAAGAAAGGAAATCTTTGCAAAGTCAAATACCACATCCGTTCGTAGAAGTCGGAGGAAAGGACGATGGTTTCGTACTGAACTGAAGCTCCTTTTTCTTCTTCTTTCTGCTCGGCTTGTAGTTTCTAGCTCGCTCGCTCGCTCGCTCGGAGTCTCGCGGAGAGTCGTAGGACGTTATGCTAAAGGGACAAAAACCAGCGCAGCTGCCATAATATCCTCCCATAAATGCAAGCCAAATTGCAGTTTTCGTTGATCTTTCGGAGTAACCCCATTATTTCTCTTCTTGTGCTCACCACCAGGCAGCAAATGCTCCGGCTGTCATAGCCCCGTAACTCTTTCCCTGGAACCACCTGTTCTTCCTCGTCTCTCCATTTTTTCCTCTCCTGATGTTGCTGTATTACGTCGGGCAAGTCTTCTCACTTCTCACAATTCTTCTTCTCGCAATTCTTTCCTTGGTTGGTTCCCAGCAGGAGAACGGAAGAAGGCTTCAGCAGCTCCAACAAGATTTTCGGCCGTGATATGGTAGCTTCCACCTGGAGTGGAATTCTTGCCGCGGCCAGATAGTATGGTCCCCAATTCTTACTTTAGAAGAGATGCAAATCCGGAGTCCATGTCTGGAGCGCTGAAGATGGAGCACGATGGCCTCTACTGGGGGCAGCAGCAGCAAATTGATCCACTCGGCCAGAACGTCTATCCTGTGCAGGCATCTGGAAGTTCTCAAGGAACCAGCATCCAGTTCTCTCCCTCCCCGTCTTCTTCGACTCATCTCCAGGCACTCCGGGACTTTATGTCGCAAGGAAACAGCACCGGCAGTGTTCCACTGTATTCGCAGCAGCTAGTGCCACTGCCACCCCCGCTCTTGGTTCCACTGGGAGAAGATCCATCACACTTCAGCAGGTCTGCATTGCCGGATGTTGATATGCGCGGTCAATACCGGGGAGATGTCTTTGGCAGTGAGAAGACCCCGCACAGAACTCAGCTCCAGCGAGAAAGCCATATCCTTGCCGAGCGTCAAAGGCGAGAGGAAATGAACGATAAGTTCTCATCCCTCCGAGCAATGCTCCCGAAATCTTCAAAGGTATGTCTGTAGCCTGTAGAATATATGAGAGGTGGTACAGGGACTAAAAAATCAATTACCTGGCTTTTGCTGCAGAAAGACAAAGCGTCCATAGTCGGGGATACAATAAACTACGTTGTGGACCTCGAGAAGACGTTGAAACGACTCCAAGCTTGCAGAGCAAAGAGAAAAGGTTGCCACATTCCAAAAGAGAAAAGTTTGAAAAGCTCACCATCATCCGACCCGAAGTTGGAGGCCTCGAAAACTGACACTGTAAGTATCGATCGGTTCCCAGGCAGCTCTGTTTCGATCATAACAGTCGTGAACTTATGCTGCAGGTCCAGAGATTGCCAGTCCAGGTCGAAGTTCAAGCGCTGGGAGAGCAGGCAGTAGTAAAACTGGTATGTGGAAAATCGCCTAAGCTTGTTCTGAGAATACTGACAGCATTGGAGCAATGTAAAGTCGAGGTTCTCCAATCTAATGTCACCACCCTGGGAGATATTGCTGTTCATTTCTTCACAATAGAGGTTAGTACTTGCATAGTCCATGAATGAAAAAAAGGGAACTCTTACCAAGTTTTTCAACTCTGCAGCTCACTCCCGGTGTGAGTGCCACAACCGAAGAGCTCATCGCAGCTTTAGAAGCAGCTGCTGCTGCAATGAACTCCTCAACATCCTGACCTGATTGTTCTGGCACCATATAACATGTTCATGATCGCGGTGCCCGTCACCACATTCGATTCCACCTTCAAGAGTTCTCACAATTCCCCATGATTCATTCAAGTGAGCTGCCAAAAATACACGCATTAAGAATACGAACATAAGTTATCCTGCTCGGGAGCTTACCATGAGTAGCAGCTCCGTGGTGGAAACCACGTTAGCATAGCGTTCCAAGAAACAACATCCCGCTCTTCGAACCCCCGAAAATCTCTTCGTCAACCTTCCCATGCTTCTTGCGAAACATAAAGGAGCCTTGGACTTTCGAGAGGGTCTAAGAGCGGGAGATTGCCTCATTTGTCGAAAGAGCTTCAGAGCCTCCTCCCTTGCTCGTGAGCAACCAGCAGCGAGATCATCGCGTTCCATATTGCTGCTCGGACACGAATCCGGTAAAAAACACCCCCGCGCTTTCCATAAGCATTCGCAACGCATCCTCTTCCCTACACGAGAGTCGAAATATATGAGCGGCGATCCGATATGAAGAAATGGAAGCTCACCCGTCGTCGCTAAACTTTGGAGGCATATTCTCAGCTTGGTTTATCACTTTCTTCTTTTTTTTTCTTGTGTAATAGCATATGCTGCTCTATTGAATTGATTAGCCTAACTACATGCAAGAAACACAGGCCACTCATGATAAGAAAAGAGTAGAACTCAATTTGCTGTACACAAGAACCATATTCTTGAGCTATATACTACAAGGTGACAATCAAGAACTCGGAGGACTCTCTAGAGCAAACCACCCAAACTTACCCCTTCGAAAATCCAGAAGCAATCTGGTTGCGGCCTGATTGACATCGCCTTGAAACAGCTTTTGCGCCACGAGCTCAAGATAACTGCAGAGCGCATCACACCACCTCTTAGCCAAACAAAGCTTCAGACGAGACGGCCTTACTATTCTCCCGAGCAATCTTCCGCGTCTACTCTGTAGCGAGAGGTCAGCACCTTGGCTCCTGCATGGTTTTGTCAGACGCTATTGCCGAGGAACAAACAGAATCACTGCGAACCTGCTGCTGGCAAACGCTTCAATCTCTCGACAAGCACCGCAGCAACTCCTGAAACTTCGTATGATTCTTGTCCGATGTCATTGCATATCGCGAGCTTCACCGCTGCAGCCTGATCGTCGAACTTCATAGGTAGGATCCCAGGCGAATCTAAAAGGTCTAGACCATCGTGAATCGTCGACCACCTGTGCATGGAACGATGTTGTGCTTATCAAGAATGGAGATCTAAGCTTTACCTTAGCTGACGGGTTACACCAGGCCGTGGTGCAGCTTCACATATTTTGCGTTTCAAGAGCCGATTGATGATGGAAGACTTGCCGATATTGGGAAAACCAACGACTGCTACTCTGACCTGTTCCAAACTATCAGGGGGAAACAAGAGAAAACAAGAGATGCTATGCTCACCGAGCGAGGAAGAAGACCTTTATCCCTTCGCTTCGAATTTATGGTAGAAGCCACAGAGCCGGCTTGTCGAGTGAGTTTCATAATCCCCTGTAAAGAGAACTCGCTCACAGAGAAATGAAGTGTTCGCAAAAACTCACCTTTCCTTGCTGGCCATTTGTAAATATGACAGGCATGTCTTTCGAAGCAAAGTATGAAGCCCAAGCGTTTCTATCCGCGGTAGAGATCATGTCTTCGCGATTGAGAACCAGTATCCTCTTTTTTCCACGGATCCATTTCTCAAGCTTTGGAAATATTTCCGGTTAGTAACATGTGCGAAGGAACTTATAGAACACTTACGTCGGGATGACCAGTGGCGGAAGGTATCCTCGCATCTCTTAGCTCCACAACAACGTCGACTAGAAGGAGCTGTTCCTTGAGATCTCTCTCGGCTTTGGCAATATGTCCAGGATACCACTACACTTCACAGAGGCATTAGAAAGACGATAGAAGAAGGAAAAAGCGAGAAATTCACAAACCTGGACGTATCTTCCCGTTGTCATGAGCCGATTCATCTCGACATCCACGATCGGCCTCTCGTGCTTGAATGTTCTCACTGCCAGCGACGCTGTAGCCGAAATCCTCGAATAATTCCGTAGCGACTGCGATAATTTCACCGATAAAGCTCGCGAATCAACCGCATTCTCACCTTTCTGAGCAGCATCCTCTCTCCCGACCTCCATTTCTCTCCCCAGAAGCTGCCGCAGCGATCGCGAGTCGCCGAGCACCCTAAATCCGCGCTCACGACCGCCATAGCCAAAATGAAAAAGATCCCACGGAATAAACCCTAGGGCTAGGGTTTGTGGTTTTCTTGGGGAGCAAGCACGATGCAGGTAAGTAAGCGCTCGATCTCTCTTCCCATTTCCTCAGCGATTGGTAGCGATTTCTTGCAGGCCAGCGATCGATTCAACATAAACTCGCAGCTAGAGCATCTCCAGGCCAAGTATGTGGGCACTGGGCACGCCGACCTCAATCGATTCGAGTGGGCGGTGAACATCCAGCGCGATAGCTATGCCTCGTACATCGGCCACTACCCGCTGCTCGCCTACTTCGCCATCGCCGAGAACGAATCGATCGGGCGCACGCGCTACAATTTCACGCAGAGGATGCTCCAGCCCTGTGGATTGCCGCCCGAGAGGGAGGAAGAAGCATAGCTAATGAATCTAGAACTCCCCAGGAGCTCGCAATGCGATGGCACAGCGCCATTGTTTGTGATGCCGGGAAGAAGCAGCTATGCCTGGAATATGCTAATACATATCGAACGGTTGTAAACAAAAGGATCGGACGGCTACTGTATTGCCATGTGGACGCCATGCTGGCACGATTGGGACCTTGAATTGCGCGGTCGGATGGCACTAGAGCATAGGGGGACCCCCAGCGCCAGAGATTTATTTTGGGCGATCGCGAGAGGAATTTCTCCCAGCTCCATCCATCCAGAGGGAAGATCGCAGGGCGCGCGCCGGCAAAGAAATGCTTCCAGTTCTAGCACAGTGATCTTCCCGAGATGAATGCCGCTCCGGCGGGGCCGAGATTTCACCAGCCGGATGATGCTTGAGGACGATGGAATTCGTAAGTGCCACTGGAAGAGAGGTTCTTAGCTAGGGTTTAAGCGGATTTCTCTCTTTCAGGTGGGTCGATTCCAGGCGCTGGTGCGAAATGTGGCTGTAGCTCTTGAGAAGCCCAACAAGGAGAGATCCAAATGCCCGAGATGCAAGGGCTCGGGGTTTCTGGCACAGAGAGCGCCGTGGGATTGGAGCCGTGGGACTGTCTCCAACGATCCTTGCTGGTTCTGCGAAGGGTTAGTGCTTTACTCTTTCTAGATGAGAATTTGCTCACAGATTCTCTCTGCTAGGATCGGTGTGATGCCTGTTGCTGGTCTCACTGGCTTCTTGCTCGCAAGAGCATCGCCAGCTTTCCACACTCGAGATATCAAAGCTCCCTCCCAGCTTCCAATCAAGGTGCAACTCTACCTGGGAAAATATCCAGGAACTCGGCCAAAGTTTTCCACGCACAAGGTTTGTGACAATCCAAAGGCCTTGCTCCACGACTTTTCTCGAGTTCCCGACTGGCTTTGCGGCGAGGAGTTCCAGCACCTTGAGACGCCACGAGCACCGAAAACTAGCATGGCAAGCGGTGGAACTCTATCCCCCAGGACCACTCCAGTCACAGGAACACGAAGAGGAAGCTCTAGTCTTTTCCGCACCAAGTCAAGCACACAACCCCGGCCTGATGGCGGCGTCCCTCGCTTCTCTCGCCAACTTGGGATGGCTTCGAGCACTCCTCGTTCGTCACCACCAGCTTACGGGACAAGGAGTCCCTCGTCTTCACCAAAGGAAAGACAGACACCGGTGGTGTTGATACCAGTTCCTTCAACGCTCGAGTCGCCCAAGGATACCGTGGAAGCTGAAGACGCAGGAGCGCCGAAGTCTGTTCGCTTCGCTCGAAGAAATCCGAGACACTTCAAGGCACCCAGGAGAGAGAGGAACCGGATCCGAGAGGAGGCGGAGAAAGAGGCCGTGGAGAGAGCCCGGAGGAGTGTACAATCAGGCCCTGGCGCAACCGAGATGGAAAAACAAGACCAAGCTGGAGCTCCAAGCTCAGGTAATTGTTTCTACAGATTCATACATTCGTGCACGATCTAACTTGTTTGGTGGCTTTGTTTCCACAGGTCCAACACTTTGGTCCCTTAACGATCCGAGCAAGCCATCGTCGAGCTGGGCTTGGGCTTCCAAACTCCCTCTGCCTCCCTGGTTGGAGCCCTGGAAACGATCGTCACTGGGAAAGCATTTCTGGGTGAATCAGATGGTGTATGGAAGCCTCAAAGACCGCACTGCTGCACCACTCTCCCCAATGCCTAGTAAAGCATTTCTTTAGAATCCCTTGCTTGTAAGCTTTCTTGGAAAGAAAGCTTAGTTTTAATCATATGACAGTTTATTCGTCAATTTGAGAGTGGTAGTCAACATCTTTGATTGACGTTCATTGACTTTGATACAATTAATAGATGAGAAACATCCACGAGGTCCTGGATTCAATCCGGTAGATTGCCAGGGTACCACACCTCTTTGTGGATTTGTGGATGCTGTCCTTGGTGTGCAAGACACAACAAACCTGGTCCCTTTTCTTCCATTGCTTGGCAAATTCCTGTGAAGCAATGACACTGTGCCAGGATCTATAAACTCATTGCAGCCTCCCCAGATCGTCAAGCTTCAGGCCCAGAAAGATCCGGAACAAGATGATCCTCCCCACCCTAGAAAGAAATAGCACCTAAATGGTAACCATTGCTCAGTCTAGTGGAGAACTTGTGCTTCTAATTTGTCCTATTTTAGTAACTATGTATAGTTTAAATAATTTTTTCACCATATTTATGTATTATTTACTTATTATGTAAAAATCTTTTATATAGTGTTTGATTTGTTAAAACACCATAAGTACACACTTTTCACGAAGATGAGCTTCACCATTATTAAAAATAAATTAAAATAAAGTCAATAATCTTTTATAAAATAAATATAAATTGATAAAAATTCAGCATGTGAGGGCCAAGTGTACGGGTACAATGTTGTATACTAATATTAGTATAGTGGGATTTTGGTAGCTGTCAGATTGGTTTCAATCTGGACCATTCGCTCCTGTATATAAACTAGAGTTTTTGGGCTAATTGATATACATATTTCTATATTCCCTTTTCATATTCCAAGCACTCACATTGATAGAAATGAGGGGCACTTTTGATTGTCCTTGAGGAGTGCTTGAATTTGAAATTTTGGTTTAGATCTAACTTTTGCATTGTCTAAATCTAACTTTTTCCATTTCCTTTCTTTTGTTCTTTTCTTTTAGGATTTTGGTTTGGATTTAGCTTTTTGCATTGTCTAGATTTACCATTTCCTTTTAGCTTTTTGTCATTTCTCTTCTTTTGCTCTTTCTTTTTTATTTGTCTTCATGGCAAATCAGCAATCTCCTCCTTTGACTCTGGAGCAGTAGTTAGTACAATTGCTTGATGCTATGCATTTGCAATTGAACAACCAAACTCAATTGATGGCAACATTCACAGCACGTGGTACAACTCCTCCTACTTTTGGTCTCAATCCTCGCGTTTGGCCGGAGTTCTTTTGCGGGAATCCTAGGGATAATGTGTACCATTGGTTCGATCACTTCACGGTGATTGCCACATATCATTCTTAGGATGATGCTTGACGTTTGTGTGAGTTTCCCACGTGTCTCAAAGGGACGGCATTGTAGTGGTACAATGGTTTGAGCGCAACCACTCGTGGGGATTGGAGTGTTCTTCTGGATGTCTTCAAACGTGCCTTCGGACATGCCGATGATTGTGATGACACCTTCCAACAATTGCATTGTTTTTGCTAAGGGTCATCTGAGACGGTGATGCAATTTGATGTTTGTTTCCGAAGTCTTTTGCTTCGTGCGGAGCCAAATATGTTGGAGTGAATCAAGCTAGAAATGTTGTGGCCAACACTTCATCAAGATCTTGTTGGACTTGTGCATGCACTTGTTCTCGCCACCCTTGACGATGTTCTTCACTTGGCACAACGTTATGAGACATTGCCTCTTCCACTTCTCGTTGCACGTCCTTCAGTTCCACTTCCTATAGGTGATGGTCCTGTTCCAATGGAGGTTGATGCTGCTACTGCTCAAGTCCAAGGACAAGGGCGAGGATGTGGTCGTGGCCATGATGTTCACTATTGGGCGTGTGATGAAGTTAGTCATACTTATCGGCATTGTTGGCGTTTTCTGGATTGGCAACCTCTATTTCCGGGGTGGAGACCTTGGCGTCAGCAACGTCCCGTTGGTGCTGCTACAGTGGACGATTTGGACAGCGAGATACATCCAGGAAATGAGGAGTCATGCGAGTAACAGAGGGACCTTGTGTGAATAAGTCAGTAACCCGTCCATCTTTCTTTCGGGATGATCATCAAGGGGTTCACTCGGCACCGGTTCATCTAGTGTTTACTTTCCAAGCTCGTTTTTATAACAAGAAGTCTCCTATTATTTTCTCCATGTTGGTTGATATAGGTTCAAGTTTATTTTCTATTGCTCGACCTGTTGCCACACGTTGCCATCTACACTTGTGTTATGCGGCAGAACTAGTTTTCATTCTTTATGGCAATGGCCGTACACATGCATATGCACGGGATGAGGTGGACCTGGTTGTGTGTGTGGGCGATCTCGAGCTTGAGTTGCAGTCATTGAGGGTGGTGCTGAGTCAAGCTTTTGACTTCATTCTTGGTGTGGATTGGTTGCAGCGGAATCATGCTAAGTGTGATTTTGAGGCTTCTCCCCCTTGTCTCATACTTCCTTGTCTTTCATCCATTCCTCTCACTTCTGTACCTCTTTGTCCCTCTCCTTCTACCTCTGCTTCCATTACTTTTGTTTCCCCACTATTTCCTCCTGTGTTTCCATCTTGTTCTGCTCTTCCCTTTTCCGATCCCTCTGATGATCTTTGTGTTGCAGTGGTGGACCGGCTTATGAAGGAGTATTCTGATCTCTTTGAATTTGACCTATCGTCTGGGGCCAAGATTGCCACATGTCATCCAATTCCAACCAAGGATGCTCGTCCAATCAAGGTTCCTGTTCGTTATCAGTCACCCATGGAGATCAAGATTTTACGTGCAAATGTCCAGGAGATGTTAGAGAAGGGTGTTATTCAGAAGTCGCGGAGTCCTTGGGCATGTGAACCTCATCTTGTGACGAAGCCTGATGGGAGTATTCATTTATGCATCGATTACCATCCGTTAAATGAAGTGACGATCCCAGATGTGTACCTTCTTCCTTACACTGCTGATCTTTTGGATTG